GCTTCATTGTCTTCATGTTATTATTTTAACTACCTAAGATGAGTCATTTGCAGTGGAAAGGGCTTCTTATGTGATTAAGTGAAAATAGCTAAGGTCACATTGAATAGCTGGGGGCTGTGAACCAGGATCCTTTGGTTTTATTTAGAGGCCTTTGTGATCTGGCTCCAGTCCCCTGCTGGGTATAGGCAATTACATCAGTCTTTCAGATAAAAGTGATGGAAAACCAATTAGCTTAAGCCTAAAGTGTACTTTTGTCTGCTGTAACTGGGAAGACTAGGAAGAGCCTTCAGAACATTTATCAATTAGGGGTTCAAATGTCCCCCTTTCCTCTCCCAGGTGCTTATGAGTTTTTAAAACTTAAAATCTCAATGATACAGTAAAGGTTAAGTTCTAAACAATCTGTGGAAAAGCTTCATTCATGTGATGGATTTCAGTGACAAGTTATTTTTAATAATCATAAACATTCTCAAATAATTAGAATATGGGAAATGGGCAATCTGTGTTAACTGCAGGAAAAGTACCAAGGGAAGGGAAAGGTACTAGAGGCAGTGCCTCGAAAACCCACATGAAGCCCAGTATCAGACCTTCACATGGAGACATGAATGAGAGAGCAATGCGTGTGAACACTTAAGCTCCTTTCTTTCGACCCACCACGAGTGAGTGTGTGTGTGTGTGTGTGTGTGTGTGTGTGTGTGTGTGTCCTGTACGTACAAAACAAAGTTGCTAGAGAAGGGAAAGAGGAACGTGTCACTGTTGAAAGGAATTGTGTATGTGACTATGTGACAGGAAACTGGATTGGCTGGGCCCATGAGCAGAGCTGCTATGCTTTCTACTGGGCAAAATTGGACAGAAGGCGAAATTCATGAAACATTTGAATGTGGTGGGGGCTGACAGAGCATTTAACAAGGCGCCACAAGAAAACACTTTTGATCATTCCAGGAGCTTTCGTTCTTCCACACACCCCCACATCTCCTTCTCACTTGGGGAGCCTTGCCCGGAAGCCCTCTCCTTACAATGGGAGAATTACTAATCCTCTTGGCATGGCACTTTCTCATCTACAGGATTTCCCTCCTGCACTTGCCCTACACCTTGCGTCATTGGTTGTATCCTCACCACCATCTATGACTGTTTAAATGAATGATCTCTTTACTGTCCTCTACCTGGCAAAAAAGCCCAAGGCTCCGGAGATCCTGGTGGGGTCTACTATTATTATTTTGTGAAATGGTCATTTATACTCGTAAGTATGGGCTTTCCACCACAGCCAGAGAAACACTTTTTTTTTTCTTTTTTTAACAGCCAATGCATATTCAATTGGACAAACTGATGAGAATAAAAGACTGTGAGTCCTTAGTCCTAAATGGGGCATCTGTATCACTATCTCCAAGGGCTCAGAAAACATTTTGGAAGCGGAAATGGGAAGAAGGTTAAGAGTTGGAGTATGAGATGGAACGTCATCTTCCTGGCAGGACATGGCTCTTGCTCACATGAACTCACAGTAGCTGCAACTACCTACACAGGACCTACCTGCCGGCCAAAATTCCATCAAGGATTGTGGTGCGGTGCTTATGAGCTGAGGAGCTATTGGAAACTGATGGTTCTTTCAGATGGGAAAATCATTTTCTCTCAGGTTGTGGCCACTGCAGGCTGCCCTTTCTCCATGGATGGCCCAACACCCATGCATGTATGCATGCATAAGACTCAGAAGTACATAAAATATAAGGAGACAACATATTTGGAAGGGGAATCCAGAGGAGCTGGAGGGGAGAGTGGATATAATTAAAACACATTATATACATGCGTGAAATTCTCAAAGAATAAAAATATAAAAAAACAATATAAATGAACATTTCAGTGAAATGTAAAAGGGGTTACACCCTAAGGGAAATGTGCTTATGTACCTTATGCAAATATTTAAGGGCATTATATTAACACTACAGTAGTAAATATCTCACATAACAGTTTAATTATAGATAACTGTCACATTAAAAAACTATAAAAGGCAAAATTAATGGTAACTGTCACCTTGGTAGAAATTCTTAAACGTAGACTAGTAATTGATTTTGCAAATTGAAAAAGCAAACTGCCTTACAGGCTAATAAGTCACTCTGTTGCTTTAGAGGACTATAGTTCTAATTCTAGCAGAAAAGATCTTCTTCTAACCCCAAAATACACTTCCTAGCAAATGTCTTAGGTGTTTAAATATTCTTTGCAAATATAATTGGGAGGTTCCTGTCAAAATTACTTCAATCAATGTAAAGACACGGGAACAAACCAATATGCTTTTTGGGCTCTAATGCTTGCTCTATACCTTGCAGAAAAAAAACAAAACAAAACAAAACAAAAAAACAGAAATTTCAAGCTAATCAGCGTCAAGCTTTCTTACCATATTATCAAACTATCTGACCAAGAAAGTATGTGATCTTACAACAGCTGATCTCTTCATTCATCTGAAATTTCAGTTGTTAAAAATTAGTGTGTAGTTTAGCCTAAAAGTTGACTTATTCTGAAAGGACCTTAGCATACATCCCACCCCTTCCTCATCAAGGGTCTCTCCAACATGCACTATCGAATTCAGAAAATCCAGAAATATCTGACAGGCCAAGTCCAATCTGGACCTGGCGGTGACATTGCCACATTTGGACTGAGGTTTTTTTTTTTTTTGAAGCCCTCCACAAGGGCAGTTTTTCCTTTACCCTGGTTTCCCTGCTCAGGAAATTCAAGACTGACTAAAAGAGTAGACCACTGCCACCACCTCTTTACCAAGATTTTCCATCATCCTCAGCACTCATCCTCTGAATGGCTTGGTACAGTGAGGCTCCTCCAGCTGTTCCAATCGAGTCATTATTCTATGAAGCTCTAAACCTTACGTTGTAGCTAGAGTTTTCCTGCCTGGCCCACAGTCAGGACAAATCTCTGACACCCGCCAGTCCCACAGCCATTCAGACCCAACCAAATAAACACAGAGACTTATATTGCTTACAAACTGTATGGCCGTGGCAGGCTTCTTGTTAACTGTTCTTACAGCTTAAATTAATCCATTTCTATTAATCTATACCTTGCCACATGGCTCATGGCTTACTGGCATCTTTACATGCTGTTTGTCATCATGGCGGCTGGCAGTGTCTCCCTGACCCAGTTTCCTGTTCTCTCAATTCTCCTCTCTGTTAGTCCCGCCTATACTTCCTGCCTGGCCACTGACCAATCAGTGATTTATTCATTGACCAATCAGCAACACAGTTGACATACAGACCATCCCACAGCATTACGTACTTGAGAAAGGCAAAGATTTGATAAAGTTCTGGACGATAAGTGGAGCAGACCAGCTGAGCACTAGCAGGCGCACTCAGGCCGGCAGAGCACTGGCAGGTGCACTCACAGCATCCTGCTGACTTTGGTGCAGTACCAGCTGCTGCAGGCTGCAGCTCCTGCTGCCTTCACATCCCACCATGATGGAATGTGGCCTGAAGTGTGAACTAAAACACACCTTTTGTACCTGATGCTATTTTGTCATAGCAACAGAAAAGTAACGAAGACAGGTAGAAAGCTTGAGAGCAGCCCACACTATAAAGGAGGTTATAGGCCAGCTCCAGCTAATAGTGAGGTTGTGTCTCAAAAATCTAAAATATATATAAAAAAAAAAAAACTGAAGTAAAGGAAGTTAAAAAAGAATATTAACATGCAAGTCCTTATGTAGATATATTTGCACAAGGAAATAACAAAGAGTTGAACTGCAGTACTGTATGTTCAGTTTACATTTTAAAAACACCAAACCCAATTTTTAAAATGATGTTTCACAGGTTGTTTGGGCGCTAGGAGGAAGGGCAGGTACTGAATTGAAGGTGCTTCTCTGGAGACAGACCGTGGCTGCGGGTGGTAGGCGGTAAGCCTACATCAGAGAGAAACATGACTCATCAGGTCTGGCTTACTGCAGCAAACACACACCAGGCACTGGGGAAGCAGTCCAGGTAGAGCCAGGCCTAAGCAAGTCTCACTCAGCACTGTTCGCCTGCACAGAACTCCACAGTAGTACAAATCATTTCCTGAGTCCTGCCTGGCACATGCTTCTATCTATACAATACTGAGTTTGTAAAGATCAGCAAGATGAAACAATTTCATCTGACAATCAACTCCAAAATGCTCAGTAGGTTACAGCCAGAGCTCAGTATCTGACCACGGTCACTTGTTTACACGTTTGTGGTCTCCTGTGCCATAGCAGGCATGAGGACTCCATGAATTTCTCAAAGCTGAAGATACTTACCATGATGGCTAGCCTTGTACAGAAAAGGCCCGACAACCCTGAGACAGGAGATATAGAAAAATAATGAAAATGTCCAGCTCTCCAATGTGCTAATTATGAAGCTGTGGAAATCTTGTCCAGACGTGGAGCCTTCATTATCAACAGGGCCAGTCAGAGGGGACAAGGGCTCAGAAGGGACCACAGAAGGGTTAAGACTCCTGATGATGAAAACCAGCACTGATACATGAAGGAGAGGACAGGGGGAGCTGGCCGATGACTTTAGGCACAAGTTCCAATGATGACTTAAACGATCCTTTCCTCTTTACCAGTTGTCTAATCTGCACGAGTGTTTTATACAAATTGTGATGAGGAGGAGGATAATATACAACAAAGGATCGCAGGGACACTGTCTTAGCGATCATGTAGCTGGATGCTTGCTCTACAACTGTGAGAAATAATCATTAATGGAATTCTCGGAAACTGTAGTAATTTAACCTTTATACATCCTGTTATTGGATACTTACTATTTATTGGGTCTTAAGTAAGAAATATTCACTTTCCTTACACGCTCACCTGACTACAATACATGAATGTGTATGTGCAATTGAGGGCCTCTATCACCATGGATGCTCCTTTTCTTCAAAATTCTTCAAAAAAAGCTGGATAGATTGCTGGGAATTCTAGTCTTGAAAGGCAAACATTCTGCTTTGAAAGGAGGCATTACATGCTTGAGCTATTTAAAAAAAGATTTCAAATCTCAGTATGCATAGAAAAATAATTTATTGGGCTAGAGAGATGGTTCATTGAATAAAGAAAAGTGTTTGCCACCAAGCCTGGCCACCGGAGTTTGATCCCCGGAACACACAGGTAGAAGAAGAAAGCCACCTCCTAAAGGCTGCCCTCTAACCATCACGCAAGTGCTAGGGCATGCGCTCCCATCTCTACATGTACTCAAATACATGTGAAAACCTTTCAGAATTTATTCCCGAAGAAGATGTATATTGTGTCACATGATTGTGATACAACTTCCCCATTGAGTAATAGTATCTACAATCACCCATATTTTCACCTTCACTTTACATATGTACAACTCAGGAGAGCTGTGAACTGTAGTTTATAAAACAAAACCTCAATATTTATAGTTCTAAGAGAATACGCCTTTCTTGAAGTGCTGTTTTTCCCTCACCCCTCTCCCAGCCCTTACCCTACTCCCTTGACCATGTACCTCTCTCCATCTGTCTATAGGCAGAAGCAACTGATTCACAACTGTTCCTGTTGCGTTCTCATATCCCACTCTATCACCTTCTCAATGCTGCCTGTGGAAGGGGCAGACAGGACACAGAGCACAGAGCACAGGACACAGGGCCAGGGCCAGGGCTGGGCCAATGCTGAGTACTGTGGAGTCCTGCTTTCTCACTACCCCCTGTCCACAAAAAGCTTTCTAAAAAAAAAAAAAAAACAATTATTCAACTGTAAAAAGAATGTGCTGTAATGTATAAAACTTGGAGAAAATGTAAAAGCAAAACATTATGTAAATTATACATAAACCAATGAACAAAACTGGGGACAGGGAGGAAGAGAATGAGGAAAAGAGAGAAGAGAGGAGAAAAACCAGCTTCAAAGCTGAAAAACAAGTCCATATGCATATGGAAAAGGGAAATGGCATTTCAGATTCAGAAGCTAAATGCTTTACTGCTTCATAATAGAACTTCCCTGTAATTTTAAAAACATATACACAATTCTCTTCTTATCTTTATACATTATAAGACAAATATACACAGTGATTTTCGGCAGCCCGGAAGTCATCATGTAGCTGAGGCTGGCTTCAAGTCTGTGCAAACTGTCCTGCCTCCGCCTCCAGAGTTCTGGGTTACAGATGTGAGCTACTACCCCTGCTTGATACGCAGTAGCTTTAAACGAACCCTCTATCCAAGATTTAACAGTGGCGTCCAAGAAGACAATGTAACTTCCGGACACGTCTCCTCCTTGTTCACTTCTCCGATGTCTTTAGCATACACAGCAGTGGCTTCTCATGTGTTTTCTTACTGAGCCAGGCATCGTGATGGGCCAAATCCACCTTCATTTTCTCCAGTACTATTAAAATTAAAAACAAAAATAATTTACTTCACTCTTCATGAGAAAAGATTAAACAACCAATAAAAATGACTTAATCACTTTGCTAAATATCCCGAAAGAGGATCAGGATGGAATTGACCATGTATGGGGTTCCTGAGGCTTGAGAAATAGGTTTATGTGAGAGAATGTTTGGGGGAGGAGTTGCTGACTCACTGTAAGCACAAGATTAAGATGACAAATTATTATGTGGGAGAAAAAAAAAATTCCACCCAGCACTGGAAGGTAAACCCATGCTAAATTATACTCCAAATAGCAAGCATGCTTAGCTTCATCTCCGTGCCACACTCTCGAAACAACTGAATACCCGCCATTTCTTGCAGAATGCAAGTGCTGAATTCTGCATTGGTCTGCAAACCACACCTAATGCGGTCCTGAAAGAACAAAGCCAGAGCGCAGCTGAGTTCAAGATGGACGCATCCAGTATCATCCACACCCCTCAGGCCTTTAGTGTCTATGGACTGCATCTCCCAGGAACTGACAGAAATCTTACTGTCAAGCGCTGCAGTGCACAGACGCCTGTGTAGATCTGAAACTGCCAACATTCTGACTAAATTTAATCGGATACAACTTAAAGTATCAATTTCAGTAAGAATATGTAAAATGTTTATTTATACTAATGAAAGAAATAACTTATATTTTCAGAAGCAATTTAAGTATTTTCATTAAAGGTTCTATCAGAGAAATGAACTCTCTAAAGGATGGTCCCCAATACATACAGAATTGTATGCATTATCTGGAACTTACCATGTGGCAAGAACCAGGGTGGGCTCTATGGGTAATAACACAGACGTTTCCAATCCAATAGAGAGGTCCTAACACACTGGAACTAACAAACTCAAGAGTCCTCTAACCAGCAGGAAGCATACTCCCAGCACAGCAAAGGCTGGGGTCAGAGTGACACTGTGGAGAGGGAGTGTCATGAAATCTACAAGGTTCTTCTTAAAAGCTTTCACATGATAAATATTGAAAATGCTGGGAAAAGGCAAACTGTAAAAGACCCACACTGACATGCTAACAGTCTGAAGATCCTGGAAGCACTTCAGAAATAAATCCCCATGCGTGTTTATGTATGTTTTTATGTGTGTGTGAGAAAAACTCTGTAACTGAACAGATGGTCTCAAATGATTTTTTAAAACACTTCAAACGTGTCTGTTGATAAAAAAAAAAAAAAAAGATTAAGAACACTATGTATGAGCGCTGGTTCCAAGTATTCAACTCCCTATAGTCCTGAAGAGCCATCTTAAAAAGGACTTATGCAACCCCACATCTGAGGCTTAGGAAACATTGCAGTAGAGGAAACACAAAGATTCTAAGAGCCAGAGGATGAGGGAGTTGCTTTGAGATTGTGTTTCCTAGTAGCATCAGAAGCTACACCCACAGTCTCACCAACATGACCGCCCAAACATGAGCTGAACAAGATGGAACCAATGAACATGCCAACCTCGACAGGGAAAAGCTAACCAGGCCTCAACCTACACAAAGAACTATATTCAATGGAGGGATGCTGGAAACATCCCCAGGGAAGAGCCCACTGCCAAACAGACAGCTCCAAAAACATACATACAACTAACACTATATAGACTGCACAAGTTGTATTTAGGAATATATATGTATATACATGTACGCATACAATAACAACTAATGAAAAAATTAATTTTAAGGCCATGAATTTTAAGGAGAGCAGGGAGGGAAATATGGGAAGGTTTGGAGGGAGGCAAAGGAAGGAAGAAATGTAACAGTATTATAATCTCAAAAATAAAATAAAAGAATTTGAGGTGATACAAGTCTGGGGAAGAGAACAGCAAGTAGAAGTTGGTTTTAGTTAAGGCAGGTGAGGAGGCAAACAGGGACAGACAGACATCCCCCCGGGATCACACAGAAGTGCTTAAAAACCTTTCTAATACAGGTAAGTGGAACCTGTATGAAAGAAAAATATTCAGGAGATTTTAGCTGGCACCCATCAGGCAGGCAGGGGGCTGCCTTCACAGTAATGAAGCAGGTGGAGGACCTTCATGCCTTGGCCATGTAGCAAGTGACGGGTAGAGCTGCATGGGCCAGAGACATTCAGGATGGGTCTTGCCAACAGGTAAATCAGTGCTGTCCCACATTTACAGTATTTGCTTCTGATTAACTATTCCAGCAGCTCTTTTCTGTATTACATTTTTTTTCTTGTGGCTTTTGAGCAGTTTTAAAATTTTTAATTTAATTTTTTGTTTCTTGAGACAAGGTCTCTATGTAGTGCTGGCTGTCCTGGGTCTCTCTACACATAGACCAAATGGCTTTCAATTCACAAAGATCTACTTGCTTCTGCCTCCCAAGTGCTAGGATTAAAGGCATGCAAATTCATGCCCGAAAATTTATTTTTACTTTTTTTTTTTGGTTTTTCGAGACAGTATTTTTACTTTTGACGGTCAGAAAATGAGGGTGGAAAAGATGAAAATATTTTTTTTTACTTACAAGTAAGTAATAATAATAAAAATAACCCTATTCCTAACAAACTCTACTCATGTCTAATAAAGTAAAGCTTGAGTACATAGCCACAAAAAACCTTTACTGACAGGTATGCATCTGGAGCATGTTACCTATTGGCCTCAATTTTCCAGATGGTGAATGTATGCCACAAGGCAACACAATCATGTGAGGTAATGCAGCGAGCTCACATCAGTGCTGGTACATACAGGCGCCTGACAAGTGGCTGTTGCCTCTTTTGTGACTGTTTCTCAGCTATTACGACTGTTGTCTGCTTATTCCTCATATAAGCTAAATGGATCAAGAACACATGTGGGACATGGGCTGACACATCACTGTTTGTGAGACACAATGATCAGACTTTTAAATAATGTGTTATTTAAACTGCTGCTTAGGGAATCATCTGGCTCTTCAGAAAAATTCTAAATTAAAACAAAATGGCTTGTAGAGAAGACTTTCACCAGTAACAGAACTCAGTGTTTTGTTTTGTTCCATGAGAAATTGTACACTGCTATTCTTCAAGTCTGACGGTGAAATGAGGACTACATAATGGGAACTCTGAACAGCATCTACTTTTTTTTCTTTTAAAGTTATTTTGCATCGAGAAAAGAAAGTAGGCTGATACTTCGTGTTCCAAACAGATTGGCTATTATACACAAAGAGGCACATTCTTTATAGAGGCAAGATAGTGGGAACTACATATACGGAGTTCGTGCACTGGGTACCCTGAAGGATCTTAGTGCTTGGCTTAGAATGTGGCTAGTTAAGAACAGTCACAGCAATGTGGCTTCAAAATTATGGTAAGCATGATTAATACAGCCAGCAGAACTGAGTTTTACTGGCCAAGGAAACTTCAAAATCACAGAACATGAGGTAAAAGTATGGACCCTGGAGGGACGACTGTGCCAAGTCACACAGTAAAAACAAAATACAAACATTAGAAAATCTCTGCTACTTATCGTAAGAGGAACAGCAAAGCTTCAACAGTCCAGCTACCTCTGTTCTCACTTATATACTCAGCTGAAGAGCAAAGGCTACTTAATAGCTGTTGAAGAAAATCATAAATTCATAAAGGGATTTTATGGAAATTTTTATTACTTAGGACATTTACTTAGGTGCTCAAAAATTAGTATACATTTTATTTTCTACTTATTTGTTGACAGAACTCAAAATGGTAACACATGTCTAAGACTAAGACTTAAAGCTTTAAAGATAAATACCAACAATCCTTACACAAAGTGATTTTCTCTTCTGGATGGACATTAGTTGATGTTGGCCTCTCTACCTAAGCTGGCTTCATCAGAGAATTTTGTTAAGACCAAATGACACCTAAAGCTCATGTTCATCGTCTGATGGACTCAAGTTCAACAAATAATCAGGCATTTGTTTGATACTGCTGCTAGTGCTTAAAACCAAACACAGGAACTTTCAAACAACTGGAACAAAATACAAAGTTACTAGCAGTACACTGCCGGATTTTTGCCTGCCACAGGTATTCTGAACATGCGCACAAATCCAACACAGAAGAGATCATACACAATCTTCACAGATGCCAGGGCATATCTGACCAGAAAATTTAGAATAAAGGGGAGAATCAATAGAAACAGACTGAAATACAGATAAAGTTTACAAAAAAAAAGCGCTTTTATTATTCAAGATATTATCAAACGAAGAAAACCTACATTAAAACACTCTTCAAGAAGTAACAGAAAAGGAGTAGTAAAGAAATAACTAAAGAAACAGGAAAGGCTTGGTGACATACTAGATACTGCTGGATCTGCACAAAGACCTTGAACTTGAGAGAGAAAACAGAGACTCGGTGAATACACAGAGGAAGGAAAGACTTCACAAGAGAGGTAGCCCGACTTTCCTGACAGCTATTTTCATAATGATCTTCACTATGAAATTCATACAAGACATATCAAATCTGAAGGTTATCATCCAGGGCTGCCAAACAAGTTTCCTTATACACAGGAGATACTGCTCCATTTCTGTGATGGGTACAGATGGCTTTCTCTGGATTCTAAACTCCTTTCCTTATTCTTCAGCATTTACCAAAACCCTAAAGTATCTAAGTCCACGTGCCAAGACTTCTGTCAAACCTACAAATTTCAAAGGGGAGCTGCAATAGACTACATGGGTAAAAGATTTCTAGGAAGGGGTTCTACAATGCTCCTCTATGTAGAAATGATATGATTTCAAGATGCTCTCTTCACCTACTGCCAAGATGTCATTAAAGGCTCAATGGAAAAACAGAACCCGGAAGGATAAGAATGTCGCTAGCAGGTAAGTATCTCTGATGACTCCTTAGAACCTGGCAGGGTGAGACGGGCACACAGCCCTGGAGAACTTACCTGGGCAAACTTATGGATCTGCTCCACCACTGCAGCAAACAGTGCATGGACACTTTCGTCAATCAGACTCTGCATGTAGTGCACAGCTTCCTCATCCGACAGGTCCAAACGGAACTTATCCTGCACCTGGAGAGAACCCCAGACAACATCAACCTTTCAATGGAACATGTCAGGAACATGCTCTGCAGAGAAAGAGTCAACCTGACAGACATCAGTAAGATGCCAAGAGTTATGCCAATAAGGAGCTCCTCATGCCTTGCTTCCACTAACAGACACTGATTCCTTTGAAGAACAGAAATGCTATTACTTTAGCTCAAAGTTGCACTTTATACTTGAGTATTCTAGCTTAAGAGCTACTGAGTGACAGAAATAGACACTGCAGGGTGAGATCACATTAACAACTCCCGACCCACACACACCTTGATGGTCATAGTTCATGAGAAGTGCATCAATCACTGGCAAAATAAAGAGATATTCTAAAAAAGCCTTTTCCACAGCAGCCCCCTGATCTTGGTAAGGGATTATTTCAATGGGTCTATAATGTCCAAAGACACATATCTTTTAGTTCATATTTTAAGGCATAGTTCATTTTCAACAGTATTAAGTACTAGAAAAATTAGTGTATGCATGAATGCATATACATGCATCTGTGTTTTTCCTCAAATATAAAAGCCAGTGTGACTGAAGAACTATTTTGGATGTACCTATAAGCAGTACACAAAGTCTCTCATTTGACCCTGTGATGACCTGCTGCCATAGGAACCCTTAATTGGTAAAGAGGTGTGTGTTTCCAGATAGTCTTATGTCCCTGCACAAATCCTCTATTGTAAATGATCCATATATACTGTTTTAATGCAGAATGGAAGAAAGTAGGATTTCCAAGTAGACAAACTACTTAATTTTGTATTTCCTTTTATTTTTGACAATACTGTAGTCATCAAATTCACCCTCTGTTATCAAATTAGCTGCCTCCCACTCCTGTAAACTACCTTTTTCCCCCAACTAGTCCCCTAACCCTGAATCTACTTCCCTGTTTTCTGTTTCTTTGGTTTGGGTTTTGGTGCCTTGCTAAGTTTATTAGGTTTGCTAGTAAAAGCATGAGTAGGGAGTCATTTATGGGAGTTATCTACAGAACACAATCTGAATAGGAGAAAGCAGAGGTAACGCAGCCCACAGCCACAGCAAGCTGCAGTGTGGAAGTACAGATTGTGGCTTGATTCCACAGTCCAGGACAGAGACATAAAAGAAAAGCACATGCAAACTGAAGGACAGGGTGGCACTTCAAAGGGCTTGTCCTCAGTGATCTGATTCTCTCATTTGGACCCCACACAATGACAACCATGCTCCTTCAGATGTCTCTGTGGCAGGATGTCTGACAACTATGGTACTATTTCAAGAAACGTAAGAAAAAAATCAGAAAGCATAAGGATCAAAATACAATTCTAGCCTAAGTTACCAAGTTTGTGTCGTTACCTCAAGTACCTGCACTGCAGGAAGAAAGTATATAATTGGCATAGAGTGTTCTTTACCAAATACGAACCATTTTCTTTAATGAGGTTTACAGGAAGGCAGCCAATTAGTACTGCTCTCCCTGACTCGTGCTAGGCCACCGGGCATTGCCCTCTACCTTCCTAAGAGTCTGCTAGTTCACCAAGCTGCAGCCTCTGTTCTTCAGATTACATACCTTCCATTAACTGGCACTACATTCAATATATACATTAACACTTTGCCTTTCTCTCCACACTTCCGGCTCTACAGCTTTCACTCCGCCTTTCTCTCCCTTTGTACTCACACGTCCAGACACTACTCATGTGCTTTCCCTTAAGCTCGTTCACGTGTGCACCAGCAACTGCTCAGCTTTCCTAGGGTTCCATGGTGCATGTATCATCTCAGTGTGCTTCCACTCACTGCCTTTGTGTTCACTGGCTTCGCATCACATTTACGGACCTGTTAACATACACATTCTGGATGGTATGGAACAGAGACTGCAAATTCTGTTGTGTTGATGTTAAGAATCATCCTAGTAGGTAGGCAGTTAACCTGGCTGAGGTTCCATCAAACACTAAGCACAGTTGAACACGTGGCTCAGGTTTAGGCACGTTTACTTATATTTACACAAACAATCTAGAAACTGCCTTGAAGCAAAAAGCCATAAACCGAAAAGTTCATCCATTGCTATCTGCCTTTCAAAGTTACACAGGTACTCTGCTTATGTATGATGCTGGAAACCCAGTAATACTTATTCGTACCCTGCGTTACAAGTGCCACTTGCATTCTTGGTCACTGTTGTGAAATAGATTACTCTAACACTCAGTACAGGCATTATAACAGAACATCTAAAAGATATCCAAACATTCAGAATATTTCCCCATTTTGGGAATGCCCAAATTGTCTGTTTCTTGAAGATCCACTTGCAATCTTGTACCACAGTAGACCCACTTCAACCATTGTATTTTCAAGAAACAGCTTCTCCAAAAGAGTCACTTAGCCAGCAATAACATTTTCACAGTGGGTAATTATATTTTGAGGAGTCTACTTTACCACTACCAGATGCTCAAATGATCTAAAAGCCTACTTGAGCCAAAATAGGTTCAGCTATATGCTGCACAGACATTCTAGTCACCAATGGGCCACATATGCGATGGTGTCCCTAGTGACCATAATATTGGAAAGTCCTAACATCCAGACACAACAGTCTCAGGCAGGGAAAGCACAGGAGATTGTTTTGCTTGGGGCCTCTATTTGTTTTTGAGTTATGCGCTCACACCCTCCTTGTAATGTACGTGGCAGCCGAGAGCTTTCACTGAATGTAATATGCACACACCCCTCTCCAAATGATGCACCGAGCAACCCCAAAACCATTCTACACGCCCCCAACCTGCATCAGGCAATACAAACTCCCATCTCTGAACAATGGTATAATTTTCCCTGCTCCTGGTAACAATCCAATTTAGTCTTCTCCTTACAGAGAACAATTTATTAAATGTGAATTTAATAAAATAAAACCCATGGATGAGCCTAAAGTTTCTGCACCATACCAGAATTATACAGCCTAAGTTTGGTATATTTAATCATATATATATATACATCTTAACAATTCTTAAATTTGCAGGATAATTTCTCCAATAAAGCACTGAAACACATTTTTATACTAAGAAGCACAATGGTTTTGTTTAAGTGAGTATTTTTTCAGTGTTCAATTTTACACAAGCTAATATAGATATACCTTCGAATAAAAATAATTTAGTGTTCAAAATCTCTTACACAGCAGCAACTTTCAATTAAATAAACTATAGACTTTCCTCACTAAATTCTTCTTTTCAGAAAGCTAGAATAAGTTCATGTTACTCTGGGAGATGAAGGCAAAAGAATCATGACTTAAAGGCTAGCCTCAACTACACAGAATCCTATCTCAAAGTTAAATAACAAATAAAGCAGAGAGAATGTTCTTCCCTGTAGCAACTTCTTAATAATGTAATCGCAAAAATAACTACAACAAAGGAACAAATTTGATTCATCCAGATGAAAGGAAAAGTCTTGACTTATGGGTTGTTTTTTCATGAGCTCACTTATTTGTGCTGCATTAGAATGCAAAACCAAAAGTCCTTAGTGTAATAGAAGAGGACTTAAAAGAGTAACTTTAAAAACAGAAGAAAAGCAAACCCCCACCCAACCATGGCTACAGGAGAACCACACGGGAAACTGCTTAAACAAGTTGTTGTGGAAGCAAACCAAAGCCTCGTGTCTCCCATACTGCACAGGAGTGGATATCTGATGTCTACAGGCTGATCCAACAGAAGTCATGGGTAATCCAACAGGAAGCACAGGTAATTTAATTTTAAAGGTACCTCAAATACAGTCAGCTTTTTATAGCTTCTTGTAATATATATAATTTCTTTTGTTTTAAAGTTTAGTAGGAAATCAATTTAAAGAAAGAATGTGTCCATTAAATTCTCCAATAGAAAACAGTGCCTTAAATTACTGAATAAGCTTGGCATCAAAGTTTAGAGGTTCCTTTTTAATTACTGAAATAAAGGGAAGAGGAATGACAAGGTACTGGCTGTTAAGTGGTCGTGTTTATATGTGGATCCATTAAACATCTTCTTTAGTGCCTTCCCCTCCAACCCTCCGAAGACAGCTAGACATTTTAAAGAGCTAGGAAGATCTGAAACGCCGAGAAGATGAGATCATCTTTTCAACTCACCATCTCTAGTCACCAAGCTAAGGACTGTTAGGGAGCACACGTTCTGTTTCAAGTGATGTACACATATGTCTATAGTAAGAAATCTTAGTCCAGCGCTGCAGGCTTATGAAATGTCTCCTCCAAATTCTCTCATCAAGGTTCTATCTTTCCCAGTGGGGTCTTTTCAGCTACAGCTAAAATCACCAACATCACGGCCAGGTCAAGATGCCACCCCCAGTCCCTTTTCTCACCCTTATCATTCACCATTATCTTGTAAGTTGGACTTTTACTCACGTTATCCTGTTTGCTGTCTGTCTCTCTTACTACGGTATCTGTGCACAGGAAATGGATTCTCCTAATATCTCCTAATATCCTAATCACAGCAGGGCATGGCTTTACAAACCAGCAGCAGCTCACAGACGCCGCAGTGAGCAAGAAGTGGACGGGAAAGCATGAAGGCCGCTCAGGGAGAGAAGAGCAGCAGCGCAGCCTGGCACAGAAGTGGCGTTTTCAGTTAAGCAGAGCAGATCTACAGACAGCAGGTGCTTAACACGCACCAAACGGGCAGTGAGGACGCCTGTGTTCTGTGTACTTTTAGTTTCTAATTTGCTAATTTTTTTTCTGAGATATTGTTTCATTATGTAACACACACTGGCACAGAATCTGCTACATAACCCAGGCTGGCCTGGAACTCAAAGTTCTCCTGCCTCAGCTTTCCAATGTGTATATGTGTTCATTTGCTTATTTCTTATTTAGCATACTCCCACATTTGTGTGTGTGTGTGTGTGTGTGTGTGTGTGTGTGTGTGCGTGTGCATGTGCGTGTGCGTGTGTGAGCCAGAGGATAACTTTCGGGAAACAATTTTTGCCTTCTACCATATAGATTCTGGGGATCAAATTCAGGTCATTAGGCTTGGTGACAAGCACCTTTACCTACTGAACTATCTTGCGAGTCCAAAAGTGCTTTTCATATAATTTCAGTAATAACACATACATTTCAATATTTATAAAAACATATTATACTTATGTAATAAACTAACAGGATCAATTTGCTCATTACTGGAACTTATTTAATCCACTATGCTCTGGTCATATTAACAACAAAATACTTAACTTTATCAAAATATATTTTGATTGATTAAACTACTTGACAGTCTTTGTTCCAAGTAACTGGCTTTAAAAGAATTATGACAGTTTCGAGTGAGCTTCTCATATAACTGAACTCTGCTTGGCACATTGACCTCACAACTACTAGGCAACTTGCGATGTTTACAGCTGATGATGTTTACAGCTGATGATGGTACACTAACTCCTGGCCTGTAGGGAGGGATAGCTCCCCAACACAAGCTTCAAGGTGGTGACCTTTATGCATATCCCACCTTAACAGAAAGACGCACACATTCATCTATAACATGAGTATTTAGGTAACATTAGAACTCTCCTTCAGAAAGCGAAGACCCGATGGAATGGGGAACTTGTGTGTATTTCATCAAGTCTGTGAAGACGTGGAACAGTCTAAGGAAATGTAACCAAACCTATTTTATGTTCCCTGTCTCTACAGCATTCTTGTCCCCCAGTTTGTAGCAGGCTTTCTGAACTGGGGGTCTTAGGATTTACTTTAGATAAAGATCAGCGAATTCTTAAAGGCCTCCGCCAGAGAGAACTTCCGATTGCTGCTGTTTGAGTAAAGGCCAAAGCCCACATTTAGGGGCTGAGCCCTGTTAACTCCATTTCACATTTTAGGCCAATCGTGTGCTCAAGCAAATGCATCTGAATAACAAAATGTTACATGCAAGAAATCATTTCCCAAAGAATGATAAAGCTTGTTACTTACTGTAAGAGGTCAAACACAGGAAATGTTAGGGCCTATCAGGCAATCTGACCTGCCCTCCTGTGAACAGAGAGCCTCATACACACTTTTGTGCTCTCCTAGCTGGTGTGCTGTCCAGCGAGCAACATGAAGTAATGGTGCCAACCACTACTTTACCAAAGTATAAAATCTACTTCTTTGGAAAGAAGCAACTCAACTAATGTGAAACAAATTTTAGTCAACTACAACAACCATTTCAAGTACTGTTATGACAGTGTTAAATCTACATTTAACTGGATACTGCACATTTTGATAAAAGATCAGAAAGCAAAGACATCTGTTATGAAATACAGTTTCAAGAAAACATGGCAAAATGCCTTTTAAAGTTCTTTTGACTGAAATAAAGTGGTAGGAATTACTAGTCTAAAATAAATCTATCAAATTTGCTTGCTGGCTCATTTTTCATGAAGGGAACTGCTTTGCGCTTTCAAACAGTGCTCCAAGGACAGCCGGTAAGAGAGCCACATGGCTTCCTGAAATAGGTGGTGGCACAAACAGAGGATGCAGTAAACACAAGAACTGGCCAGAGAAACCACTGCCGATGGCATGGCTGAAGAGCCAAAGATATCACTGCATGTGACACGGCTTAATGGGCAGTGGAAATCGGGTCTATGGCACAGCATAAATGGCCAGAGAGACGGCTGCCTAGGGCCCGGCTTACTCGGTCAAAAAACACTGTCTATAGCAAGTCTGAAAAACACTGCCAGAAATTTCCCAAATAACTTCTGAACGCCCACACCCAGGGAAGACTGAACATGAAGGAGACATGACACATGAGTTTCAAAGAAACTACAAAAGAGGTCCTTAATGGAGCAGATGCAAACAGAACACGGGAAACACGTGAAGCCTGGTGTAGGCATCCTTCACAGCTCAGAAGTTTTTCATCAATCAATTATACTTCCTGATGGATGAGCTTTAGTCAATAAAGTAAAAATAAAAAGACAAAAATAGGACACATAATCAGTTTATCTCCTCTGAAACAAAAAGAAACTTCATTGAATATTGTTGACCGGATAAAAGAAGAAATGGAAAGGCCAGTGTATCATCTGTCTGAATAAAACAGGAACCCTTTAAGAGTTTATTTTCTTAAATGACTGAATGAAATACCTCTATTCAGATTCTTCTCCTAACCTGCTAAACCAAGAATTGGTCTCCTTCCTGTTCAATCACAGCTGAACTTAATTTTCCAAAGTCCACTGGGTCAGCTGTAGATCTGCTGTGTGAGTCACCACTTTTAATGCCCCGCAGCTCTATCTTGGAGAACACTATTTACTGTCTTTCAGAGATTTTATACTTCTACGAGTTAAACACTGCCCATTCTTCTCTGAGGATGAATATTGATATGCATCATTATCTTTTTGCCTTTGGAAACATAAAGCTCTCTTCCATCTGCTCTCATCAGAAGCCGCGACCAGAAAGTAGATTAAGGGCAAGTATTCCAATCCTTTCCTCCCATTTCTGCTCACGTTCTAGTTAGGACAGCTGAGTGACCGCTCACATGTGGTAGCTTTCACTAGTTAGCTATAGGTTGTTTAGAAAGAAAACAAAAGGCAGGACTCTACAGTGACACAGTAAAATCCAAAACAGGGGACAGATGGGAAGGTGACAGAGGAAACATCTACGTGATAGGGCATCCACTGCATGGTCCACCTGTGCCCGAGTCAGGCACCTTGCTGGCAATGTTAAACGGAGAGTTACCCCTCTGAGGATGAAGAGGAGCAGTTCTCACACTGAGCTAGTTCTCTCTAGACTAATACTGTGGGTACAGAGATGAGTACAGATGGAACAGGAGTGCCAGAGAAGACCTGAGAGTCTGCTGTTTCTGAAACGTCAATCAAAGTACACACAGAACTATTCCTTAGCTTCTGTAATTAATCTATGGGCTGATACACAAAGAGAGCATGTACTGTTAAAGTCTTTACTCATTTTTATATATGAAACTTAGATGGTGTTATATACAAGAAGTACAAAATTACCTTTTTTACAGTTTTATCTGGTTCAAGAGCAATATCTGGAATGTTTGCATCAACCATCAAGGAGAACAAGTTCAAAATCAGATTTGAATACCTAAAGGAACAAGAAAGAAAATGAAGCCTATGAGTTAGAATTTTAGATTTCTTTGCCTTATCAAGAACACCCTCAAAAGTGGTGGCAACTGTAACTTTATAATCCTTATTAATCCAAAGGAAGAGCTAGTATAAGTAAATGGGCAGCGAGTCACTGTACTTCCTGAAGTTATTGTTGGAGTCACTCATGAGTGACCATGGGATGATGTTATTTCCCTTCTATTCACTCAGCCATGGCTAAACAGCAACCTAGGTAGTCATGAGAAAGTATACACTTGTTATCTAAAAAGACAGATCTTCAATGTTGCAAAACTCTAGTGAACGTGAGTGTATTCCTCTTTGTTCTTATTTATAAAGAATATATTTTCTGAAAACAAGGGGAATGTCATTATTAGATGGAAACTCTAAAAGTTAACATCCCATAGCATGAGACCTAGAAATTGTAATATGAAGACCCCAGCTTTTCCTGGAGCCGTGTGTATTCACTCACACTGAAGTTATTAAGTCACTATGTGATGCTGTCTGTAGTTAGGACTGTGAACCTCAGCTCTCCATTAAGAACTTGTTCCTATTTTCTCACTCTACCGATGATTACCAATGCTCCACCAGCAGCTTATAAAACAGTTTTCCTTCTGATTTCAATGAGACTGGCATCCTCGGGCAACACTCTAACTATCCATCTGTAACCTCTTGCCTGCCCCCTTCCTCAGGGCACCCTGGCATAGCACTCATCATCTAAGGACCTCTCCTCCTAAAAGTCTAGAGAACCTCCCAGGAGCGCCACCCTGTGGACAAAACCTTAGCACATGGCCCTCTGTGTGATAGACACAATTGAAACATCTACCAAAGTCCTACAGCTAACACCATTATGAATTACAAAACACTAAATGCGACGGTAAGGTCCAAGGCAGGAAAGTCTGCTCTTGCTGCTCTTTTTAAATTAGTATTAGATTAGTATTAGCTGCTCTAGCAAACAGAATAAGGCAAGAGAAATAAATACATACAAATCAAAACTAAAACTGCTGCTATGTGCAGATGACGTAGTAGGTGGTGAGGTTGGAGGCACAGGCCCTGTAGGCTGGCCACACCGCCTTTACCCCACGCTGAGAGGGGATGCAGGCATGGCTGACACTCGGCTTTCTGCTGCACCGGGAAAATGCCTTTTGCATAATTAGGTGGAAATTCTCTAAGAGTCCAGTGGTCCTGTCACTTTTGTGTAACTGTCACAGTTCTCTTCATGTTCAAGTACACGACTTGATTCTTTCCTGATAACTTAAGTCATCCAGTCTTTTTAATCAAACCATGATGAAAGCAGCACAGAGTGACACTGAAGAAGGACAGAGTAAAATCAACCTTGTTTAAGGGAGAACGAGTCGCAAGTCACTGAAGAGACAGGGAAAAAAACCTTCTGAATTATCTTGAATGGCATCTGAAACTGAGGTGGAGAAAGTGCTAGAAAATAAAATGGTTGAATTATCCTGACTGTACCTAATAAGCCAGTGCAGTGGCTACTATACTGTTCCGTCAGTCTCCAGGAAGAAAGGATGGAGGAAAACTCCCCCTGGTTAGCCTAGTCTCACATAATGCCAGCTTCTTAACTGGTAGATTATAGCTGTAATAATCAGTGGGAAAGCTAGACATCCTTTGATGCTGGGTTTATCATTATGTGCAGCAAGTGTATATTGAGAAATGCCATTATGTCTTTCCGAGAAACACCCCTTTCCACACTGGTTCTAGCCCTCTGTGAGACACACTTAGAACCCTCACCTTCGCAGGTGGAGGAAGGCCGTGTAACACTGCTTGCGGAACTCCTGGTACTGCTCACTCTGCGTGCCACCCATTCCTTCCACCATCTCTTTATTCAGCTTCATGGGAGGAGGAAGAGGCTTTGGATCTCGGCCCAAGATATACCCAAAATCTATGTGGAAGAGTTTGCCTGGATGTGAACAAGAAACTCAGTCATTTCCACAATTATCTTCACAAATCAGGAAAGAGATATTTTATACAATTCATGAAAAGTGCCTCTTTGAAAAAGATTACTTCATTAAATTAGTCTATATCTTCAAATATGCCCTTCAAGACACAGTGTAGTCCAGTTCTTGGAAATGAAAAAAGCAAGCTTAAAACCATCCCAATTAATATTAATTTAAATTTTTTTTTTTATCTCATATTAGAATTGCAGAATCAAGGAGCAACCATCTGGCCAACTAGGAAAGGGATTAGCATCAGCGGAGAATCTCTTGTTTGTTAAGCTGAATGAACTGCTCTTTGTGAAGCAGATAGCCATTTCTTTGATTTTAGTATTCCTAAAATGAAACCCTGACTGTTATGAAATTATGACTGTAAAAAAAAACCCTTCAAATTTCAAACTATATTGTTGACTTATTCAATCTGCTCCCTAGCTGTTGGCTGGGAATCCGAACACTGTACTTACGACTACCAAGAGCTGAATACAGCTGCAATTCCTCCAAGGAAAGTCTTACATTATAATCTCAGAGCAGACACACAGGAATGGGATCATTCCGCTTAGTGGTGATTCACCATGGAATCCATGAAGCACCTAGTGATTTACAAGTTGCCATGAAGCAAGGATGCTCTAGAGGGAATTCTTAGGGACAAGACTTGGGACTTCTTGCTGTTAACTAACTCCTGCCTCAGCACAGCTTTGGGCACACAGAAAGCACCAACTATTGAGGGAAGGAACTAACTGGCTTAAAAAGCTAACTAAAACCCTCTCTGGGGCAATCTACCTATTCTGTCGTGCAATCCATTATGACCTGTTTCACAAAGAAATTTATCATTCACCTTTTTTTTCCCATCAAGGGTACCAGCCTTGGGGGACTGAATTTACTGTTCATGAGCACAAGTGATGCTGTGTGAACCAATTTTCCACACTGACTCCTTGTTAAGATGTTGGCTATGCCTTTCTGTTCACTGCTATTCCTGAGTGCTAGCATAGTCACTGTGTTCCTGAGAGACATGCATCAGTGATGGGCACAGAACCTCTATGCTTATAAACCCTGGGGTCTCTGTCACTGTGGAGGAAGGGGCAAGGCCTTAGAATCAGGAGTGTAATTAACCCAAGTACAAAAGAAACTCATATCTCCACGCATCCTTGCTGAAACCCTAGTGTCGCTTTCTACATTTTATTTGACGATTACCTCAGATGCAGAATCAAAAGAGAATATTGTAACACAGTACCTGGCTCATAGTAAATGTTCAAAAGGCCAGTTGTCACTATCATAATTCTCACAAACACACATACACACACACACACACACACACACACACACACAGTAGATGGTCAACAAAAACTAAGAAATAAACAAATAAAAACTATTAAGGGGGACTGGAGAAATGGCTCAGAGGTTAAGAGCACTGGCTGCTCTTCCAGAGGTCCTGAGTTCAATTCCCAGCACCTACATGGTGGCTCACAACCCTCTGTAATGAGATCTGGTGCCCTCTTCTGGCATGCAGGCATACATGCAGACAAAACACTGTATATATAATAAACAAATCTTAAAAAAAAAAATTGAGGGAGGGACAATTAATGTCTTAACTGGTTCTGAAGAGGGGAAAACAATTTAACACGATAGGATTTATTCAAAATTAAATCAAGCCATTTACCACTCAATAATCAGGTCCCCTAATGTAGCTCATAAATATTTATTTTAAATATTCCAAATAACATGTAAAAATTAAAACTGGCAAGATGATTGGCAGGAAAAGGTGTCTGCTGCCAGGCTGGTGATGCAAGGTTCATCCTGAGGCCCAGGGAGGAAGGGGAGAACAGGCTCTCTGATCTTCACACGCACCTCTCCCAAACAAGCAAACAAACAAACAAGTAAATGACAAGAAAATGCCAACAACAACCACTTTAAAGATGTCTGAGCATCTGGAATTGACTGTACTAGAGACTCACAGATGACAGGAATTCGTACAATTAAACACTAAACAGAGACGCCACCACCCTTTCTGCAACTTCTAGACATCTTGATCAGAAGAGTGAACTAAATGATTAGGTTGGACAATTTCAGGGAAGAGTGAGGAAAGTGTACTCAACAGCTCAGCTGCAAACATCAGGTCTGGAAAACAGAGCTCACAACACAGGGTGCAGGCCATGGGCAGATGCATGTTTCTCCTAACTGCCGAAAGACTCAGAATAAACGGCTGTACAGTGAAACAGTTCCACGGAGAAGCCAGCTTCTCTTCTATTGAGTCACTGCCCTAACCTTTTCCAAATCAAGAAGTGGTTAAATCATGTAGGAACTGGGTTTGTTTTTTAAATCATATAGGAACTGGGTTTGTTTTTTAAATCATGTAGGAACTGGGTTTGTCTTTTAAATCATGTAGGAACTGGGTTTGTCTTTTATGTCTATGTCTGGTATAGATGATGCAAATGGAAGAAAGAAAAGGAGTTACAGAGGGAGAAACCCAGACACCATCAGAGACGGGAGCACGCTTTGTTACCGCCACACTAAAGACTACACAAAACATGTTCTTTCATCCTTCTCCCCTACTCAACTTGTACTGAGCCAGTACAATCCAGAATTCAGAGTCATATTCTATTGTTACTATCCCGAAGCCCAGGGAATTCCTGGCACCAGGAACTCTTCACATGTCTGCTTTGCATCTCTTAAGCCAAGGACCTCTTCATTCCAGCTACAGCCCAGACATCATTTAACACTGCTGATACAGGACATTTTCTTCTCGAGGCTGGCGAGGTAGTAGGGAAGCTGGTTTTAATTTCCCTCTTCCCTTCCTTGATCTTGTAGTAAACAGACAGCAGAGGCCGTCTGAATGCCATGGTCCTGCTTACTAACCTTGGCATCCTTGTGATTTCCGGGTCTGGGTCTTATTTCTCAGACAGCACAGCCTTTCTAAATGTTCCCAGCTAATGGTACTGACAGAATGGCTGGCTGTACAGATGCTCCTTCAATTATGATGGGAATTACATCTCTGCAAACACACCATCAAATGAAAATATGAAGCATAAAGAAATTCATTCACTGAACCCAACCCTCCAAACCTCACACCATAGCAATCACAGAATGCTACAGAGGGCCAGCTGTTGATTCTCAGGGTCACACGGATGGCTGGGAGCTATGGCCCCTCACTGCTGCCCAGCAAATGAGGGGACTACACAACTAAACATTAAAAATGAAGATGTTAATGACTGCACATCACTCACATACAGTCAGAGACAGCCTGCACTTTGAATCATTTGGTGGCATCTGGAACAAACAGCAGATCTATAGGAGTTCAGATGGAACACACCTAAGCATCTTCACAGGGGCAGGACAGCCAAAATCCACACCCAAACACTCACACTGTGAATGGCACATGGTTTCAATGGTATATCCATTGACACATATTTGTTATTACATTAAATTTTACTAGTTTATAATATTGATTAAACAATAAATCTATTTTCATTTTATAGTTATGAAAAATGGTTCACATAAGAAGTCATTATCAGGTTTGTACTATACACCAGTACCTTAGTTAGGGTTTCTATTGCTGTGAAGAGACACCATGACCATAGCAACTCGTATAAAGGGAAACATTTAATCAGGGCTGGCTTACAGTTTCAGAGGTTTAGTCCATTATCATCATGGCAAGAAGCATGGTGGCATGCAGGCAGACATGGTGCTGGAGTAGGAGCTAAGACTTCTACATCTTGATCCACAGGCAGCAGAAGTAGAAGGTGTACCACACTGGGCGTAGCTTGAGTACATAGGACCTCAAAGCCCACACTCACAGTGACATACTTCCTCCAACAAGGCCACACTAGCTAACAGAGTGTGGGCCACTGTTTATGGGCCAAGCATTCAAACACATGAATCTATGAGGGCCATACTTATTCAAACCATTACAACCATGGAGCCTTCCTTTCCACTTGAGAGATTGAAATACCTCTCAAGATTGAAAAGCGAGTTTTTAGAGTCTAGGGGTTTAGTGGTAGAATGTATGCATAGAGATTTAAAGACCTAAGGCTTAAATCCACCACTAAAACAAAACAAAATAAAAAGATATCTCCCTTTTAGAATCCCACAATAGGCTTAGTTCCCTTCTAAGAAGGATGACAAGGTTTGGTAAATTCTTAAAGATGCCTACTCTTCAAACAATAGGACAATAAACTTCAAAATAAGGAATCTGGCACCTGTAGTGCTAGATGAAATAGCATGTTTCCTAATCTCTTACAATCCACGGACACAGGTAATCATGATAAGGATTTCACAGCTTTCCCTCCAAGTACCACCCTAAGATGAGCGCTTCTCCAAGCCCTTGTTCATATGCTAGCTACCTATGGTGAAGAATGAGCTTACAATATTAAAGATGTAGACAAGCTCTCCCTCATTGTCCTGAACTACGTAAACATGGCCTTGTTCCCAGTGTCCTTTCTCCTGAGACTCCGAACTGGGGCAGATGACCAACCTGATCTGCCTTTCTCAACACACTCCATCGTGCTTGGTTTGGCTAATGAGCACCACACTTGTTACAGGAAACCGTGTCCAATTTTCTTCATTTCCTTACAAGCATTACTGGAGTTCCAAGGCCTGCTGTTTATCACTGCTTGTAAATGAAGGTTATATTATTATCCCTCATGTAAGAAAACTCTCACAGAATGAGGCAAGGCTCAACTGTAAGGGGCACATGGTTCTAACAATGAAATCTCATTAAGTTTTACAATCAAAGAGCCATGTATTTTAAAAAGAAGCTATTAATTTTAAGAAAATCCATCCTCATACATACTAGGGGAAATTCTTTTAGAAGTTAATCTATAACTATTATAAAATAAACTTACACTGATTTAAAAAATGCACCTTATAAAATGAAAAATTAAGACATTAAAGAAGTGTGGTCATAAAGAAATCTATCACATGAAACAACCAAGAGGTAAAGTGTGTAAACACAAACCATTACTCACTGTAA